CCCAGCTGTGGCATGTGGATGCTCCTCCCCTCAAGCCCCCTGCTTCAGGGATGGGGGTGCCCCCCCCCAATGACCCCACGCACAGAGATGCAGATGCCTCCCATGTTCCCACGCACAGAGATGCGGGTGCCCCCCCATGTTCCCACCCACAGGGCTGTGGGTGCCCATTTCCCCCCGGGGAGGGCAGTGAGCGAGCGGCTGGGTGATGCTTTGCTGCCGGCCGGGGTTAAACCACGGCAGATAACCAATGGTGAACGGGCAGCAGAAGAGCAAAGGAGGGTCACCACGCCAGGTTCTGACGGCATCCCACACGGCTCTCGGGGACACCACGGTGCTGGCGGCATCGCCGGCGATGCCAAACCAGCCGGGCGCCAGCTGAGCTTCAGCATCTCGCTCGATGCGGGAGAGCGGAGTCCTCATGTCCTGGAGGAAGCTTCCGTGACAGAAGCTCTTGACCCAAACTGGAGGTGATGGTGGGCTCTGGCCCGCAGCGTGGTGGGATCCTTCCCCGGCAGCTTGCAGGGGACGGTCCCCGAAGCTGGCCAAGTGCCGCCCCAGGGCTCCATGTCTGCCCAGGAGCAGAGTTGGTCCCCAAGACACCGATCCACACAGGACCTGCTTGCTCTCGTGTGCCAACCCGTACCGGCTGTGGTGAGCCTTGCCACGCTCCAGCGCCAAGGAGCAGGGCCAGGCTGATCTCCCTGGCCCCGTCAACCGGCTGATTTTAAGTCCCTGCCACCCCGGCAGCTGGCAGAGCCCCACTCGCTGCCTGTGCCGTCGGGAGAGGGTGACCATGCCCAGGACCCGCCTGGCCCTGGGGCCATTGCCAGGAGGATGCAGGGTGCCTGCCTGTGCCCCCATGCTGCCCCCGGGCAGCTCCGACACCCCCTGGCACCCCAAGTGGCATTAAACACCCGGGTGAAGGCAACTGCACGTCACAGCAGCTCCCCGGTGCCTGTGGTGGCAGCTCTGGCACCCGCATGCAACCACCTACTCGTGGGTGCGTGGGCCACCCACAAGCCCCATCAGGCGCTGGAACAGCACCTTTACTCCTCGCAGTAATGCATCAGCCCGCACCGCTTGCGTGCTCCTTCCCTAAAGCTTTTGTAATGGTACGAACACCGCTCGGTATCAGAAGATGCCGCGACGCTTTTTGTTTCACCAGCGCCGCCGTGGGCGTCTGATGGCGGTGGCTCCTGGCCATGGCTGCTGCGTGGCCTCAAGCACGCCTGACGCTCCACACCAGTCTCTGCCCCCCCGCAAGCAGGCAAGCTCCCGGGCAGCACTTACTGCACACCCTCCTGCAACCGGCAGCTGCTGAACCCGGGGCGGGGGCAATGCATCCCAGTCACCCACCGCTCGCCCTCCGTCTGTACCCACTCCAGAGTGGGTCCACGGTCACAGGCAGCCAGGCAGGCAGGCGGCTGGGTGCCGGCGGGAGGTGGAGGTGGCAGAACCCACCCCCCCGGCGAGGAGGGACAAGAGGTCCGGCAGCTCCGGTGGCAAGCAGAAATAACAAACTGTACCAGACAAACAGGTTCCCGTGTATTTGTTTGCACTTTTTATTAGTTTCTAGATTAGAAAAGAGTGGAGCTATAAATACATGTGGCCCTTGCTTGCTGCATCACGAGGGCTCATGGGGGGGGGATTCTCACACGTCATCTAAGCCATCACCTGGGGCTCTGCACAGTCAGGAAGGGGTTAACCCTCCCACCATCCTGGGAGGCAGCTACTGGCAAGTGGTATTGCCCCCATTTTACAGATGGGGAAACTGAGGCAAGGAAGCGATGAGCGTCGCCTCAAGCCATACGGCAAGTCAGAGACAGCTGGGGAGCCCCCGGTGCCCCCCCCGGGGCATCTCGCCTCCACAGCACCTCCAAAAACGCCCCTTGCATAGAAACAACGGCCAAGGGAAGAAGTTTGCCCAAGAACAACCTGAAACCCCCCTGGGCCCTGCAGCGGCCCCTGCGCCCACGCTGTAAAAGACTCATTTTTCCTCAAAGGCCCTTCCCGAGGCACACGCCAGGCAAGGATGCGTTTGTTGCCCCCACGCCAGGATCACGCGCAGACGGAGCCGGGGGAAGCTCCTTTCCAAACAGCCCGTGCCGGAGATGCCAATGGAGGAACCGACGGGCACAGTAATTCCCAGAATTAAAGAGAGCCTGGGGAGCTGCGTTGGGGCTGGGGGTGGACCCCTGCCCGGCCCCTCCAGCCTGCTGCCCCCTCCCCATGGCAGCAACACCGGAGCCTGGGCTGCAAAAAGGAAAAGTCTTTTGCCCGCCGTTTCCCAGCTTTGGTGGGAGGAGGGCGACGGCTTGCCAGGAGCTGTGCTGGCCCCGGGGGATGCACCGGACGGAGGAATAAACCTGGGGAGACAGCAGGCGCCGGGGAAAGAAGGATCGATCCCAAAAAACACAGCTCGGTAAACTTGTGATGGGAGTTGTGGGAAACAAACGGGGTCAGCCATCCCGCACAGAGCATGGCAGCGAAGGGCTGTGCCCGGGGAGGGAAGGGCTGCACTGCACCGGCTGAGCTCTCGGCTCTCCTCCAAGCCCAGTGTCTACGTGTCGGATAGGGACAAGGAGAAACAACGACTCTCAGCTTCAGAATTGCCCCTTTCCAACTAGCAGCTAAACTGGGGTCCCTTGGCACAAGACAAGGGGGGGCCGCCTCTGCCACAGCATGGAGGAATCAGACGGGGACCAGGGAGCAGACGGGACGCAGCATCGGGGACAGAAAACCCAGCGAGGGGACAGCCCGGTGCTGGCGGGAGGGCAAGGCAACCCCAGTCTTCTTATCTACCCACTGCAATACGCTTTTAAGAGGTTTCTCAGCACCAAACGAGATGGTGACTCTCAGATGGGGGATGACAAAGCCCTCCCCAACCTGGGGATGTGAATGGTGCTGGCACAAGACCAGAGCACCGGCCCCGCTCGCTCCGGGTCCCAGCCCGACCGCGTGTCCCCGTGAGCGGCCGCTGGCCCCAGCCGGAGCGGGGCGGCTCCTCCAGCGCTGCCAAAAGCCGGCAGCATCCCCGGCCGGCAGCTGCTCCCTGGGCACCCAGGGCTCCACCACAGCAGCCAACAGCCGGGGAAACCACCGGCCCCGACCCGCCACCGGCCCCACAGCAGGTCTAAGTCTCCAGTGACGGTCTCGTTCCTCCTGTCGCCGCTCCAGCTGCAGGGATGTGCCACGGGCAGGACACCAGGCTCTCCCCGCTGCCGCCAGCCCTCCTACTTGTACTTGGACAAGGCTTCCAGCGGCACCGGGAGCTGGGTGCAGGACATGAGGAGCGGGTGCATGGGGAGGAAGGGGTTGAAGGACTCTCCCTCCCGGTAGCAGGAGAGGATCCTCTCCTCCGTGTGCACGCCCTGGTGCACTGTCAGCTCCTTCTTGTGGCTGAAGATCTTGCCGCATTCGGTGCAGGGGTAGACCCGCTCCACCGTGTGGGTGAGGTGGTGGGTCCGGAGGTTGCCCTTGTACTTGAAGCTCTTCCCGCACTCCAGGCAGGTGAAGGGACGCTCGCCCGTGTGGATGCGCTTGTGCTTCATCAGCGTGGTCTTCAGGTTGAAGGTCTTGCCGCACTCAGGGCAGACGAAGGGGCGCTCGCCGGTGTGGATGCGCTGGTGGGTGATGAGGGTGCCCTTGCGGTTGAAGCTCTTGCCACACTCGGTGCAGGTGAAGGGCTTCTCGCCGGTGTGGATGCGCTGGTGCTTGATCAGCTCGCCGTTGTGGCTGAAGCACTTGCCACAGTCGGCGCAGGCGAAGGGGCGCTCACCGGTGTGGATGCGCTGGTGCCGCGTCAGGTCGCCATTGCGGCTGAAGCTCTTGCCACACTCGGAGCAGCCGAAGGGCCGGTCACCGATGTGGATCTTCTGATGGAGGATGAAGGTCTTCTTGGCGCAGAAGCCCTTGCCACACTCGGCACAGATGAAGGGGCGCTCGCCGCGGTGGATCTTCTGGTGGGTGATGAAGTTGGCCTTGCGGTTGAAGCTCTTGCCGCACTCAGTGCAGGAGAAGGGTTTCTCGCCGGTGTGGATGCGCTGGTGCAGGATGAAGGTCTGCTTGGAGCAGAAGCTCTTGCCGCAGACAGTGCACTCGAACGGCTTCTCGCCAGTGTGGATGCGCTGGTGCCGCATCAGGTCACCCTTCTGGCTGAAGCTCTTGCCGCAGACGGTGCAGGCAAAGGGCTTCTCCCCCGTGTGCACCCGCAGGTGGGTGATGAGGTTCCCCCGGTGCTGGAAGCTCTTCCCACACTCGCTGCAGGCGAAAGGACGCTTGGCAGCATGGCTGCGGGGACGCCGCGCCGGCTCAGCACTGGGGGCCGCGGCGCTGCCCACTCCGCAGGCAGAGGGGGGTTTCTGCCCAGCTCCGCTCACCGGTACCACTGGAGCCATCCCCTTCTCCAGGCAGAGCCCCTGAGGCTCGGAGGTGGCCCGTGGCCCCCCGGGCACCGCCGGGCTGCGCCGGAGCTCGGCCACGGCACCCTGCGCCTGCCGCACCGTCCACTGGCTGACGCAGGGCCTGAGGGAGCCCCCCGAGACAGCCCCCAGGCTCTTTGCCAGCTCAGCCGCCTCCGGTTTCGCCTCCTCCGGCTCCTCCTTGGGACGCCACTCACCATCGCTGCCTGCCAAGAGAGGGGAGCCCCACCATTACCCGCCATGGCTTCAGAGCCCTCCCGGCAGAGCCCCGCAGCCGCATTCACCCCCCCGGAGCCCCGCTCCCCAATCAGGATGTCTCCGGCACGCGTTCGCCCACGCTGGGTTCGCGCAGAGCTGCACCCATCAACGCGGGCCTGGCACCGAGGCCGCTGTGCGCCTCTGACCCGCTCTCCCGCCACCGGGGCACCGGCACCTCACCCCGGCACCGCGAGGGCAGGGGATGGCAAGCTGCCGCCCCCAGCACCACCGGCTGCCCCAGCTCACGCTGCACGGAGCGAGCAGGGACAGCATCGCTACCAGGGACCCTGGGGAGGTGCTCGGACCTCTTGTGCAACACGTGCAAATCGTGCAACCATTTCTGGCTGCCGAGGCTGCCTGGACAAGCAGAAGAGCAGTGCAATGCTCTGCCAGCGCCCGCATGACGAGCGGCTCACCCTGATGGCTGGCAGCGGCACTGGGGGTTCCTCCCCGTGGGATGCCGGGTTTGGGACGTGGCTGGGAGAGGAACGGGGGGCTGCGAGGGCCGCAACAGCGGCGTCAGATGCAGCCCCAGCCCCGGGGACAGTCACTCCCCTGACCACCGAAAGCCAGCAGCAAGGTTGCTCTGAGCTCGCTGGGCGGCCCAGGAATTGCTCCCGTGGCTGGGAGGCTACGGTGGGACCCACGAGGCACCAGTGGGACCCGCAAGGCACCGGTGGGACCCGTGCAGCCACCTCCGCCTGCCCATCACCTCCCCACAGCCGGTTCACGGCTGAGTTACAGCCAGGACTGGCAGGGAGAACACGGACACTGCAAACCACGTGTGAGTTGGGGTTGTGGTGTGGACACACCGAACCCTGAGAAACACCAAAGTGCCAAATAAAACTGCAGACATAAAGGGGAAAAATCCATCCTGCAGCCCCAACCGGCATCACCCACGATCGCCAGCTTCGCCCTTCAGCCCATGGCTTTCACAACAGCCCTGCTCAGCACCGCGCCTGCCTCGGTGCATCGCCCAGCAGCAGCTCAGCGCCTTCGGTGATAAACACCAAAGTTTCCCTCAAGGGTTCGTTCCCCCTGGAGGAAAGGAGCTTCCTTCTCCTCCCCTCACCCAAAGCGTATGATGGGAACGGGGGCCTTCATGCTGTGTCCCAGTGAGCCAGTGCACTCGCCCCCACGCCACCCCCGTCCCACCGGACCCCCTGGAGCCGCCCCGGTGCTCACCTGCCCCGTCGGGGTGGCTGGGAGCTCCCGGGTCACCCAGACCTCGGGGGCACCCGAGGTACAACTCGTCCTCGGGCTCCACCTTCACGATGATCTCCGGCTTGGCATCGCCTGCAGGCAGAGACCGCGGTGCTACGGTGGGAGCAGGCAGGGCCAGAGGAGCCGCAGATGGGCTTTCAACCCCAGCTGGCAGCACCGCCGGCAGGGAGGGCAGGGCTGAGCTCTCGTGGGACTCCTGCGGAGTCTCACTGTCCCCAGGGTGGCACGGGACAGTGTCACCACCCCGAGGGTGGCACGGGACAGCCGTCTCCGACAGCCCCGACAGGCAGCATTTACAGGCAGGCAGAGCGGGCAGCACCACTGCCATGGCACTGAGGGATGACAAGCCGGGTGCCCTCTGCCAAGCTCGTCTCCCACCCTGGCACCCACCTCTCCCGCTCGGGGTCCCCGCAGCCCCAGCAGCCTGCAAAGCATCTGGACACCCCGGTTGTACCCCCCCCGCCCCGAGTCCCTCCCGGCCCCCCAGGACCCCCAGCCCCACTCACAGGCAGCGGGGTGGTGGGGCACGTCCCCCACCTGGGAGCCGGGGCAGTAACCGCCGTACGCTGCCTCCTCCTCGGGCTCGCTTTTAACGACGACCTCCGCTTTGATGTCTGTGGGAGGAAAGGCACAGCCCGTGCATCCAGCTCCGGGACGGACCAAGGGCTCCGGGACATCCCCACACTCTGCCTGTGCTGGCACTGGCTCCGGTTCACCGCTCTTTAATCCCAGCTTCCCAGGAGGTCCCTGCAGCCACTGGGCATCTCCCACTGCTGGGACACCCAATCCCCACAGAAACAAGGGGGGGTGCCCCAGCCACAGAACCATGGGAACCCCAAACACCCAGAATTCTTAAATATTTGTTATGCAAGAAAAGGAACCACTTGTTTTCCTCCAGAAGGCAATTCCCTGTTACCAAATGGCGCTGGGCAGGCACTGTCCCAGCAAAGCTCCCCAGTGCAACAGCCTTTCCTGTGTCTCCACATGGATGCCACCTGGAGCATCACCTGGGACATCACCCGGAGCAGCCTGCACAGGACAGGGACTCGATCCCCGGAGGGCTGCGGGTCTCGCCGAGCTCCCAGCGCTCCCCCAGCCACCCTCTCTGCGGTCACTCACCAGTGCTGGGGTAGCTGGGGACACTGGGGATGGTGGCACCCAGGCCCTGGGGACACCCAATGTAGGACTCATCCTCTGGCTCCATTTTCACCACGATCTCACACTTCACGCTGGCCCACTCCTTTCCTGAGGAAGACAAAGCTGCTCTCAGATTCCTGGGCAGCGCAGGCAGCCCGGCATCGCACCGGCAGCCGTGAGCGGTGCTGCCTCGGGCTCCACGCTCCCTCCGCAGCCCTGCACTGGGCATGGGGGCACGAACCCTCTGCCGTGGGTACTACAGGGGGACAAGCCATGGACCCCCAGCCAGCTGCGGGCAGCAACTGCCCATCCCTCCCTGCTGCCCATCGAGGACCCTCACCCAACCAAAACCATCCCGGTGCCTGGCGCCAGGCACAGCATCCCCCACACCAGCACTCTGCTTGGCTCCGTGGGACACAGCAGCTCAGCCCCGGGGGTCCCAGGGCCTGGAGGGGCCGGGGGGGGCTATGAAGTCCCTGCAGTGCCAGGGCAGCCAGGTCCCTGCAGGAGCTTTCGGCAGCCTCACCTGTGCCACAGGTGTCCGGCATCCCCCGGAGCCTCACGTCCTGGGGATCCCCCCCAAACGGCTTCTCCTCTCGCTCCATTGTTGGGGGTCCTGGGGCTCCCTCCAGAAGAACCTGCCCAAGGATGGGAAAGTCTCCTTCCAGCCTCCCCCGGTCCCAGGGAGCACCCGCAGACACACGGGTGCTCCGGAGGACGCTGACCTCCATGCTCCCCGCTCCGGCACACCCAGGCTGTGCTGATTCTCTCCTCACTCCATCCCTTCCCCAGACCCCCATTGCCCTACATCGCCCTGACCCGGGAAGCTGCCGCCAGCAGCGGGGTTGAGGAGGACGTCAGGGTAGCTACACAGTGCAGGGTGGGATGGGACGGGTGCCAGGTCGTCACCCAAATCGCTGCCCCAGCCGCTCCTTCCAGCCCGGCAGCTGTGGGGGCAGCGGCGGCAGCGGTACAAGGTCAGAGCAAAGAAGAATCTCTGAGAAACAGAGATTCAGAGCGAAAACAGTGCAGAAAAGGGCTGCTCATCTGGGGGAGGTGAAGAACCAGAAGGAGGGGAGTCTTGGCAGAACCCGCCAGCAGCACGGGCGCCCAAGGGGAGAGCCGGCAGCCCCCAGGCTTCACCAGGAGGGAAGCAGGGGAGAGGCACCGCGGGGGCTGAGCGGCATGACCGGCGCGGTGCCAGGCCCGCCATGCACGCGCAATGTCCCCGAGGCCTGCCAGGCCCAGACGCCTCAACCCAGACCCCCACCGTGCCGTGGGGCGGCCGGTCCCGCGCACGAGCGCCGGCAGTCAAACAATTCAGTTGCAACGCGCATGGGGCACCCCATGGGCCCCCTCTGCCCACAAAGCACCCCAAGAGCAGTAGCCCATTTCCAAGCTTTCCTACCCCGTCCTTTCCTCCAGCACACCCCAATTAGGTGCTGCCGCCTAATTTATTTGCAACCCCCCGCTGCACCCAGAGGCTGGGGGCAGCTGAGGGAGGGCAGCTCCTTCTTGCCTTCTCCCCTGCTGGCCCCGTGCCCCCTCCAACCCCACTTGCTGGTCTCTCGTCCTGCTTGGTGCCATGTCCCCACGGAGCTGTGGTGCGGCGTGCATCCCTCCTTCCACCTCCCAAACACGGACGGTAGGTGCTGCCAGAGAGGGCACAAGCCCAGGGGCAGTTGCTGCCTGCACCACTCCCCGCCTGCATGAATGCGGTCCTTCAGCCCAGGATCGGTGCTGGTGGCCCGAGCGATTGGGATTAACCCTGGGACAAAGTCAGGAATCGACTTGGCAATGCTCTGCTTGCTCTTTGCGGCAACCGCTGGACCCAGCAGCATTGCTGGGAGGGACAGGCGACATCCCCAGCACCGGCCACTTGTTTCCAGCCCCCTGGGATCTGCAGCCCCCTCTGCCGCTGGCTGCCACGCCAGATGAACGCAAGCATTGTGCCAAAGTCGCCGGCAGCACCGGGAGCTGGTGGGGGCAGGCGGGTGCCACTGCCCCCTCCGAGACCCCAACTCCGGCTCACCTCTCCCCAAACCCCTGCTGCCCGCCCCCATGGAGCCAGGGGCTCTGGGCAGAGGATCGGGCCCTCCGACAGCCTTTGCCCACGTCGTGCTCCCCTGACAGCACCGCACGGACACCCCAGCCGGCAGCAGCTCCTTCCCCATGAGTGGTTCGGGAGGTGGAGGCTGGCTGCCCTCCTCCTCCTCCTGCCTGCTCTAAGGGCACCCTCCTGCTCGGCGG